TTTACATGTTGTAATGTACTATTATATCATTTATTTATGTATGCCTCTGTCCTGAGTGTTCTTGCGTTTAGTTTTAATGTATTCCTGTCACGTAATGTTGTGATTTTAGCGGTATTTTTAACATTGCCATGTAAGCTGGAAGTTTGGCTAGCCATAAAACCAGGTTCAACCCACCATTTTTTCTTGAAATGTCCTGTACCAAGTCAGGAATATGGCAGTTGTTATCAAATAGTCCGTTTCTATATATGTTGGCGTTTGTTTTTGTAGCAGTTCAGTATATGTTGTTCCGTTGTTTTCCTCTTATAGTTGATGTGTTTCCCTCGGTTTTGGTTTGTGACCCGGATTTGTTTCAAATAAATTGATTTATGACTATTGAACAGCGGTATACTACTGTTGTCTTTCTTTATCTATAGTGTCTCATCGGAATATAACACATCAAAATCAGCAAGCCATATGGCTACCATGACCATATTACCAAGCGACTAAAGGTAGAACATTTAAAAATTAATAATAACAAACAATATCGTCCCCTGTGATTCCAAATAAGAATTTAACGAACTTTCTAGGGAATACTTATTTTACTACAAAGTACCTGAAAAGTCAGTCATGGTTAGTAGAATTATTCACAGAAATATTTTTTTAGGAGAATGAACAAATAAAATATCCATTAATATGCACATTTCATGTAAATTATATACTGTGACAAAAATAAAATCGACTACAAAATCCGAGCGTGTTATTTAGTGTTCGAGAACGTTGAAACAAGTTACAAACAAATACGTTGATAACAACTTACAAGTTGAAGGTTTAAAGTAAAAAACACGCAAGCATGAAACACAAAAGACATTAGGAAGCATGTCGTCAAATTTACAAAATTATAAGCCATGGACATTGACACCACTGAAAGGATTATAAAAGGTTACTAGTTTGCAACTTAAAGGGGAGGGAAACCCTAAAAAATATTTGCATGCATTAATAGAACATTATTATATATCTTTATTTCTAACAACATTTGTGTTAAAAAATGGTCCCGTTTAGAAATAAATCAATATTTTTTATAATCAATTCCCGCCTCTCTGTATGCATCCATTCATGTACTATCCGTGACGTCACACCAATGGTTCCGGTTTTACCTGTTCCAGCATCTGCGATTTTCCAAAATGTATTTACACACCTAGATGGAAAATGAAAGTAGCCAAAATCAGATAGATCTTGTTGCTTACAACTTCGAACCCGATCTCACTGTTGAAGAAATTGGAGATCGAATTCGAGCTGCATGTGCACCTTCAGAAGCTGTAGTTCGGACATTGGTGGAAATTATGGTGCGAATGTGGGAAAAGTTTGCAGAATTTCCGTTTCTCGTTAGATTTTAACTGATTAGGTATTTCAAAAAAACCTCTGACCACACTTCCCTTTTGCATTTACACAATTGATAGCTTGATAAGACATCATAATAACGTAATATTGAAAGAAAAAAATATTTTTTGATGAATTGGTTGCTTCTCGATAAACCGGAATAGTAGGGATGACGAAGAAAATTAATTACTCCTTTGGTCCCTTCAATACAGAAGAGCTCCACAATATGTTGCTATCCATTAATTGGCAGGAAATTCAAATTCATTTAATTTAAACTTGCGGGTTTTACAATTCTGAGTATAAATTTCAACAAATTTAGACAATAAACCTTATTTTTAACAATAATTCTTTCAACTCAGCTGAGTTTTGTGTGAGGGTTTCCCATACAATTAAAATAATTAACGAAAAATCTTTTTCTCTAAATACAAAATCGGAAAGCTAACTATTGTGACAGAAAGGCTGAATTATTCCCTTCATATCTTGATTATTTTGGAAATTTCTAATTTACTGCTAAGAATTAACTTTCCATGTTATATTTTCTAGCAAATTACAATCGTGGCTATAGTGAATTAAAAAGAATGAAATACACTGACAAAATTACATGCTAGGTTATTAATATCATGAAATATCAATTGGAAGAAAAATACATGCTAAGTAATATATCAAAGAAAATAAATTGTGATTCCAATTTAAGAATTTCACACTTAGGAGAGAAGAAACAGATTCAATTATAGTTTATTTGATGAAATAAATTTTCAATTTAACCAAAATATCACCAGCTTACAGTAAATTGGTTAAAGGTCAAAATATCGTCTACATATTTTGCAAGTTTTGTCCTGGAAAAGCACAGCACGAAGTTCCACCAAAGGTATTACAATTTGCATCTTGGTTAATATTTGATGATTGTCCAAGCGTTAACATGTCGATTTGAAACATAATGAGGTGGGCATGTTTTCGTTAAATCTCTTTAAAAAGTGAACAAAAATGTATATTTAAGAGACTTTATGCGTTCATTCTGTATATTTATAGATGTACAATTTTACACGTATTTATTGCTGCCTCTCTGAAAGAATAAATACGTCAAATATAATTTTTCATGTCATATAAAGTATAACGAGATCTAATTGAGTGGGTGGGCGTAAGTATAATCTAAATCTTTTGTTTCGGTTTTGGATTAAATATATGTGTATTCTTTTGTAATGTAATTCAAAAGTACACCTTCAATATTTCTTTATTTTTAGTTTATTTTCGACTTATGAGTTTGAATGTCCCTTTCGTATTTTTCGCCTCTCTTCTTCAACATATGCTTGTAATTTGAAAGTCCTCCTTGTTCTATATTTGTTCCTGTACTGTTATGAGGTGATTGAAAAAAACCTGTTTACATTTAAAGGACTTATCCCCCTGAATTATCTGGATTTTCCTACATATTCCAATTTAATTTAGACTTTTATCAAATCCAACGTAGAAATCGGTCCTTATTTGTTTAAAGTTGTTATTATATTTAACAACACATTTTTTAAAACAAAGTTAACTGTTTGTTCAATATTGTTAATTTGCCTTTCCTTAATGGTCACGTAATGTTACACTAGTTCCTACGTATGGAGAATACATTACTTGTTGGTTGCATATCAGGTTTTTGCTTTAATGAAAGTTATATTTTCTTTCTTAAACACTTTTAAAACAGGGGTACACAAAAATTCACAAGCTAGTTAAATCTTTTCTTAATTTTACTATAAGTTTACGATGATATTAACCAGAAAAAGTAAATACGTGTCATATTTATCCCTTAAGTCAGTCTTTTTTGGTAGATCAAATTACAATTATACTGTTGTACCATCATTGCCTTTTTAGTGATGAGGGATCTATATGGTTCATTCATTAACAATTTGAAACACAACTTTAAAGTTTTATTTATTTACTTTAACAGTATAAGATTTATACATATTTATACTTTGTGTATTGCAAAACAATCTACATGTCGTGCACTGCTCAAGAAGGTACTGTAGAAAATCTACGGCAGACTTAACAGTTTATGAAAACATGGTTAACAAATTGACACATAAAGCACGTTGAGCCTGTTTTTGTGGCGGTGAGCAACATTTGATACCTTTTAAGTATTGTTATTATATCGCCTGTTATAAGGGTTATTGTGTCGGTAGTTATACGGTTATTATATCGCCTGTTATAAGGGTTATAGTGTCGATAGTTATACGGTTATTATATCGCCTGTTATAAGGGTTATTGTGTCGGTAGTTGTACGGTTATTATATCGCCTGTTATAAGGGTTATTGTGTCGGTAGTTATACGGTTATTATATCGCCTGTTATAAGGGTTATTGTGTCGGTAGTTGTACGGTTATTATATCGCCTGTTATAAGGGTTATTGTGTCGGTAGTTATACGGTTATTATATCGCCTGTTATAAGGGTTATAGTGTCGATAGTTATACGGTTATTATATCGCCTGTTATAAGGGTTATTGTGTCGGTAGTTATACGGTTATTATATCGCCTGTTATAAGGGTTATTGTGTCGGTAGTTATACGGTTATTATATCGTCTGTTATAAGGGTTATTGTGTCGGTAATTATACGGCTATTATGTCGCCTGTTATAATGGTTATTATTATAACTTACATATATGATTAACAATTCTATTAGGTAATATTATACATTATCACATGGCGTGGCATAACTCATTTCATTTTCATTAGAATGAATGCAAAAAAGCACGAATAACCCTAAAAATTAACACCAAGTGATGAACAAACCTATTATTCACCCATGAATAACCTGTTGGTGAGCTCCATGAGTTATCTCTAACCAAAATGACGTTACAGAGTATATAAACATAATGGCAACGGCCAAGTTAGAAGCCCATCGAGTGACGAGAAAACAAGGTTTGGAAATTAATCTAGTGTCGAGGATAGCAATTCCAAACGGTCATTTCCAGGGTCATCAATATTTTACAGAAAGGATCGTCTAGTGTTGTTGTACATATCTAAGACACAAAATAGTTTTCTAACATAAGTACTTTGACAATCAGTTACTACAGTAAAGCAAGTGGATTTTCAATGGGTCAAAAAGCTTTTTTCTGCTAATTCAGTATAATAAAAAAATAGTCGCCCCTAAGAAGCGATGAATATCCAAAATTGTCAAACCTAAAAAGTTATTTAACTTCGGGCTGCTCCATCAGGGATATAACTTTTAAGGGTTGATAATTTTGGATATTCACATTTTCTACGGGCCATAATTGTATTTTGTATATTGTGTCAGCAGTTATACGGTACTTATGTCGTCTGTTATAACGATGATTTAGTCGACTGATATAGGGTTATTGTTTCGCCTGTTATACGGTTATTGTTTGTCTGATATAACGGATATTTTGTCGTATATTAAACGTGGTCCTAAACTGTCTTTATTCTAGCGTCAATTATTATTCGTGTGTAGAATGGTTCGTCTTACAAGTTAAACTCTAAGTCTGAAGAGGACATAGGTTCATTATGTATGTGGCAGTAACTCAATCTCTAGACCGCGTTCTATTAGATATGAAAAAAGACCCTAGGCTTCTTTGATAACTATGTAAACGATAAGTATAAAGTAATTTTATAGATTTTTGAATATTTTTTTCATTTGAATTAACTACTTACCACTGAGAATAAAGCCATGGCATTATCATAAATAGAAGTCGAACAAAAAATTCCATTTTAAAACACACCTGCCGTGGATACCTCAACATTGTGTATGGTTAATACAGATATCTCCTATTCATTCAAAAAAAGTGTCGCACATGCGTATAACAGAGAACAGTTTCGGTGCTACACAGAGTAGTAAAGATTTCCTAAGAATCAATTCTAAAGCAACATTCATTGTAAGATCGATCGTGTCCTGTATTCCACATCAAGTTGTTTGGAAAATCAGATAAATACATCATTTAGTTAGCAACTCACCAAATCACAATCAGGAAATCTGTTAAAGTATATACCGAATTAATGAAGAAAATCGTGTCAATATACTAACACAGATTTTAAACCATATATAAGCTAGTAAGGAAGAGTTCTAAATTGGTATGTCAATAAACGAAAAGGAGGAGAAAACCATTCGCTAATGAGTTCACAATAGTATATTTTCAATGGGCTAGCAATATTTGACATCACTTATTGGTTAACAAGCTCTTATAGCTATTGGTTCTATAGGGTAAAGATTGTTCGAAATTCTCTACAAGAGTGTTAACGATATAAATTTATTTATTATTAACAAGTGTGCTAACGATTAGTAAGTGCACGGAATAATAGCATTTATTTGTAATAAACTTGGGACACTTTAACTTCTCAGAAGAAATATGAGTGAAAATTCACGATATTTGTAATTTACAACTAAACAACCCGCAAACAGTAAGATAGCTTCAGTGTTTTTCACAAATATAAATAAAAAAAAGTATTTAAAAAAATAGGTAAAACTTTTCAACGTGAAGACCGATATGACGCATTATTGTTAAGTTCCTTAGTAATGACCAACTTTTCCACGTTTTTTTATATGTGAAAAAAATCTGATATATATCATGAACGTTATTACCCTTTGGGTAAAATTTTTATATCAAGAGCCTGACCTCGAGATACGATTGACATAAAGAATACCATTTTTACATGAAGAACTTAGGTCTTTATTATGGCTACACATTTAGAGGTTTATTGTTAGAGCATATTGTTTGAATATATTAAGTTCTTGAAACCACGCTTTTTCGTATTCATTAAAATAAATGCAATAATTTGACACTATATAAATAACACATAGCTGAGAGGGTGATAGAGCAGATTTTTACCCCGAGAAAACATTGTCAACTGAGGCGAAGGCAAGGTTGACAATGTCTTTTCGAGGGGTAACAATCTGCTCTATCACTCTCTCAGATATGTGTTATTTAATTTATTATACTGAATGTTCTGTTATAACTGTCTATTAAATTTCAAATTCAAAGTAATAAACTATGTCGTCTTGTACAATAATAACAATCATCCGTATTTATTAAAGCGCAAACTTGAGCAAGCGTCTCTGTGAAGGGTAATAGAGTATTTGCCATGGGATAGAGTAAATTGTCTCCCTCGTATTAAACCAATCAAAATCTGGCATTTTGACGCGAAGTATAATAAAAAAACTAACGTTCCATAGACTGAACCGTTTCTCCTTTGATAAACTAAAAATAGTTTCCATTAAAACCTTTCATTTTAGATGCATAGTGTCAAATGGCACCGTGGATAAAAATTAAATTAGGACAAAGTTTGTTTTCTGAAAATTCTATACCATATGATGCGTTTTCACACCCATCTTTAATCAACAACTTCCAGTTTAAAAAATATTTTTAACTTTCATATAGTTACATCTTTGAAGGCAAGTGTTATATAATTGAATTCTATTTATTTTTAGGAAATAAACTATTGATTGTTTGTTGTGTTTTGAGCAAAACTAGTTTTGTTTGCAAAATTTTGAACTATTGGTGATTATCCCTAGTTATTTCGACAAGTGGTGGTGTACAAACGGAGGATGAAAAAACCTTATTTTGATAATACCTTATAACGAAATGTGACAATGTTTATCTCGTTAGTTAAGTTGAATGAGCTTTAATATTGCAAAAAGACACATAAAAAGTTACCTTGTCCAAACCGGATGCACCTCTGTTTGCATGTGTTACATTAAAAAGGGTCTCCGCAAGAATGCGGAACTTTTTACTCTGTGCAAATCAATATATGGTATATTTTGTCACTAGACAATCTTTGCCAATGGATAAACATGCTGTAGAATTGTTTCTCCTTTAACTAATAGAAAGTGTTTAGTTACATATAGTTTAGATTCAGTGAATTGTACTGGAAGCAATTATTTCACTATTTTAATTAGAGACAGAAGCTGAGATAATATATTATAAGATTCCGTGTGTCACAAGACACAGACTGTAAATAACTTCGAACAAACTGTAGGTAGTTATTTTCTTCTTAATGTAACTGACAAACATATATTTTAAGATCAAGTGTAATAAAAGATTTCACTTTACAACGGAAGTTGTACGAAAAGAAATAATGTATATGTGAAGTTAGCGGCCGGTTCGTTAATCGTTTTTCGATATTCCACACAATCAAGGTTTGCAAAATATCTTCGGCGTGAGCACACAAAGTGAGGATGAACTACTTTTTTGTTTTTTGAAAAACAAGACGAAAGATCGTATCATAGCACTAAGTATTTGTGAGGCATTACCTCTAGGGCATGATAACTTTATTTGAAGAATATTTTCTGAATAGCAACAAAAACTTAATTCGTTATCATGTGCCCCATGCGCCTGAGTAAAAAGAAGACACATATAAGTACTGTGTGTTGTGCTTTCCCGTCATTGAATTAAAAAATCAAAGTTGTTCTTGTAGGATACCCTTCTAATGGGTATAAAAATGTAGTACACAGTTTGGATTCTTAGAGATTAATGGCAATTGAGAAATGAAATATTTTGGAAAAATCTAGGCTAGACATTTTTTGTTCCCGATTTAGATAGTGACGTCGGTCATATATCAAATCTCTCAATATGAATTATGTCTGACATCGTTAATAATCATCTCACTAATTTTCAAACGTAAACGCCTTTTATCTGTAAAGTGGTTTTCATCCCCATAGTAAGGAATTGATTATTTTCATTAACCATGAATTCAAATTTCTAAATGTATAAAACGAAAAAATGTTGCATCTCTCATTATTATCAAATATTAATATAAGATTTAAAATATAATCACCTGATGTTACAGTTTCGTGTATTATATTTGAAATCAAATGTCAGACCGTGTTGTAAAACGATCAATTATTGTCAAAGATTAATTGGTGCCGATATTTGATTTTTCTGTAAACTTTCTTATATTTGTAACACAACAAAATTGAGACTGACAAACAAATTGATGTGTACGTTTGACAAATTTATTTATTGTGTGAGGGTAAGCATAAGAAAATAATGATTTCTAAAATACATCTAGCACATACATAGCTTCTGAATGACGCAAAATCCAAGATCGAAACTGACGCATTTCTAAAATAGTTTTTTCATATCATATGGATATTAAGGATGTAGGGCAAATGTATCCATTTAACACTTACATGCAATAGGTGCTGACATAACCATTTTGAATCATCGCATTGTCTACCTTTTCCTTTTTTCATCAGCAGGAAGTTTTTTTCCAATTAATTTCATTACATTTGTCTTATCAGGTCTTGTTATAGCTAATTGAATTTGGACAGATCATGAACATATGGTAGGGTCAAAAGATTTTTTTTTTATAGATCTCAACCATTCCCCTCTTTTAATGATTTCGGCATATGAAAGACTTGGGATGAAAATCAGTGCCAGAAAAGTACATAAGTATATATAATACTAATATATGAGGTAACAACAATACAAGTATAAGTAAATACAATAATAATCTAAGAATGCACGTTTTTTTTTACTTCTAGTCGTTTGGTTTTCTGTGTCGTAATGATGCTGTCCCATTGACATACACTCTACATCATCTTTTATTCGACGCTACTGAAAGAAAGAAGAAAGCACCTATTTAATCCGCTGATATAAAAATCATACGGTTCTACACTTTAATTTCGATGGTTTTACTTCAGTTTGGTTTTCTTACAGCAACGATCTAAACAGTACAAGAGTTATGCAATGCCAGAACAATTTGAACATAATGTCAATTTAGAAAAGAAACTATTGCCTTATGGATAATGCCAATGCAAGAAGGTCATGGCTTAAAGGTGTGTTTAAACTTTTTATTAAATTCGTGCTGTTGAATAATGATACTGATAGATTTTTTTAAGAATTGACATATTTATTGTGCCATATCTTTATCCGCTTTGTTGTATTTTTCCTTTCATATTGAAGAGTAAACAAATGTATGATTATAATTTTTTTAAGGAATAAGCTAGAACTAGGAAATCAATTCTTTGTAACAAATAATTTGATTCTAGCAAAGAAATGTATAAATTAAGCTTTTATTTAATGTTCTTTAGCACAAAATCATGGTTTTTGATCACTTGTTTCTACAAGACAATAATTACATTGCACATTTTATCATTGCCAACATCTGTGAATGAATGGCCGGGAAATACAGTTATTGATGCACAAGGGTTATAAACCTGACATTTTAAAAATAAAATGCCATTTTAGGTTCAGTTTATAAGGTACGAGCTCACTAGATATCTAAATGAAAATTGTCTTACAGATTTTATCACAAGAGACTAGCAGATTTTGCGTTGTAACTTTTGATTTCTTAGTGGATTTAAAATACAACGTGTTTCATTCCATCGCGATTCACAGATGATTCATTTAGTGTTATTTCAAATTCATTGCTTTTCAATGTTTGATATTTTTGTATGTTTTGAGCACTACTGAAATATTTACCCGATGCAAAAGACAATTTCATAGAAAAAAACGCAATACAAAACACCCTATAAAGCAATTAATAAATGAAATTCGAAAAGTCAGTTCGTATTTTTTGATAAATTCTTACAATTTACCTGAATGAGGGGTAGTTTGCTCTGATTAATACTCTTCTTGTCAATAAAACAACATCAGTGTTTCCGAACTACGCCGTAAAACAATATTTTGACTCGTACATACTATCTTATTACCAGTCCGGTGACTGCCTTAAGGTAGGATTTCTGTTTACTTTTTTGTTTTATCTATGAAATTGCAGAATACAAATACACTGTTTAGAAAAAAGTGAAAAT